GCCTCCTCCCGCCGCTGCGGGGCTCCGGCTACCCTGGAGGACGGCGGCCTGCTGGAGGGAGGAAGCGATGGGTAGTGAAGAAGAGGCGGCACTGACCAAGCACCAAGGCTCACTTCAATCAAACTCAGATAGCCTTGGACTAATCTCAAAAGAGAGAGGGAGATCGGGCCAAAGGCAAGACTCAGAACAGCTCTGGGCTCTTCCACTCCGGAGGAACACTTCAGTGGAACAAAGCCCCAGGGACTGACAGCTGCTGCTGTTCCTCCTCTCCCGTTCCCTCCCTGATGTTCTATTACAGTAATAAAGGTAACTACATGCAACAGGGCCTGGAGCTTTCAAATGGTGACAGAAGAGGCTGGTATCATCATGTGGAAGCTGACACAAGGCAAGAAAGAAGAAGGCTACCAGCTAGGTTTTAATCAACTATGATGTATTCTTGTTTAGTCATAAATACAGGATTCCAAATAAGCATCTCAGAAAGGGCCACTACTGCGGGCTGATGTAAAAAAGACAAATAATCCTTTTAATTCTGGGGGAATACGTATTTTCAAGTGCCACTTCAATTGCGTGATGCTTAGAATGTTCAAATAAAATGACTAACACATGTTCAACTACTGAAGAGCTGGGTAGGTGGATCCACTCTAGTTCTTTTCTTACATCTGTTAGCTTGTAAGTAATCTAGTACCTACATCAAAACATCCCAAGTTTTTAAAGAGAAGTTTGCAAAGTAATACCATATATTTACCAGAAATAAGGTGCATATGAAAGAGGCAGGGAACAAAAAGACAAAATTCAGCTATCTAATTTAACTTACTGAGATGAAAATAAAATTCAGAGTCATTACTCACCAGCATTTAAATGACACTCCTTAATCTGAAACTGAAGTTCGTTTTCGTTGGGAATATCCTTCCATGTTGCAAGGAAGACCTGGCGCTCTGCACGGGGAAGCAGACGGAAGGGAAGGATGTGCACCATCTGTCAATATCCTGACGTCTACGGCCTGTACCAGCCCTCCTGTGGAATGCTGGCTCTTGCCACACAGCCAGCAGCAGCCTGGGGCTGGGGCCACCTCTTAGCTATGCAGAGATGCTCTCCTCCCAGTCAAATAACCCCCCATGAGCAGCACTAAGATAAACTGGAAAGAAGTTTACATCTAGGGTTTAGTTTTGGCTCCAGTGCTTTCCTATTTGGGTGACTTGGGGAGTAAGCCTTGTGACTTTACTGATCCTTCATTTCATCACATATTATTACATCCGCCTACCCTCCCCAGAGAGCTGTTGTGAGAATCAAACCAGTGAAGTGCCAAAACAACCTAGTATGCACTGGTAAAAACTAGTGTCCTAAGTAAGGGAAGAGAGAAGAATCAACAACTGCATGAGGGGTACTAATGATTTATTCCAGATTATCGAATTCTTATCCTGAGACAGTAAAAGCTTAGTACAGGGCTAAGTGCTAAATTTGCCTGTACTACATCAAATCATTATAAAAACTACTTCTGCTTTGTAAACTTGGAAACTGAAGCTCAGAAAAATTAAGCCCCTTGCTACAACTACACAGCTAATCAACAGCCAAGCTGAGATTCAAATCTAGATCTGCTTGGCACCAAGCCACTTACTCTGTACACTGGGGTGACTAGATTATTCAGACAATGGGCATTGTGATTTAAAGACCAACAGCAAAGCAAGCTCAGCTGTGACTCAGATGAATACATACTTAGCAATTTTCAGAGCTTGAGAATAGCCTCACCCCATTTTTTAAACCTCAAAATAACTTGTTCTTCTGGGGTTATGCTCTGCCTGACATTCAGAGTAAGGGCAAAGGTATATTTGGCAGAAGGACAGGAGGACATATGTACTTACCCATTTTGCCATCTTCTACAAAAAGCACATTGAGTGGGATGAGGCAGCTGAAGTAGAAGACATCAATATTGTTTTTCACAGCCACCTGCCAGGAAAGTAGCAAGGGAAAATTAGGACATCATAGGAAGCCAGGTAGGAGGGAAAGAACAGTTATATGTCTAGAAATATACCACCCCATTTCCTTCCTCTTTTAGACCGTGCAGGAAATCCCAAATCAAGACACACCAGCCCATACACTGCAAAGTCTGTCCTTGCTCATCCACTGGCAGAGCACTGTCGCCAGTCTGCAACTCTCCCTCTCTCTGGGAGGAGCCCCAGGAGGGATGAATTCCCGGCACAAGTTCTATACCTAGAGTAATCTACTCCATTATTATGCATTTCTATGGTTATAAATAGTAGTGGCTGTTATCACTTACTAAGTACCTATTAATGACAGTATTTCTAATCTTCATCGTAACTATCACAAACAAAGTAGTAAGTGTTACTCCTCTCTCATTTTACGGATGAAGAACTGAGGTTCAGCAAGATTAACTAACACTCAGTGTCACATTGTCAGCACACAGAAGAACCAGGATTCAAATGTAAATTTGACCCTAAGTCTTGACTTTCCCCTCCACAATAACTGGTGCCATACTGCCCCTGATCTTTTTCTCAAATACCACCATTAAAGTGCTTTCTTTTATAAAATCTTATTTTCTAAGTCATTGGACTGGAAAAGCTTGTTGGCTCAAACACTGGAAAAATCTGATGATTTTAGGAAGGAAAAGCCCATGAACAAGAGAAGAAATGAGTCTTCTCATAATACAGGCTTCTGGATTTGGGCAGGTTGTGAATCTACCATGGCCTGTCCAACCCACAGCATGCCATTTATATATATATTTTAAAAAGCTACAGTAAGTACTTTTATTCAGGGGCAACACTGATTGGTGGATCTATTCAGAAACAGGCCAAATCCACTGTGGCAGATTATAAGAACCATATACTATAAGAAGGGAGAGACGGGGAGAATTGCTCTGAACCACCACCTCCCACTGGCTTCTGTCACTAGTGACTTTCCTAGCTATGCTCTTGGCACCACAGAAAAATATTTCTCTGGGTGAGTTTTATAATCAGTAACTATGCTTATTTCTCTCTCATTTTGCTCTAAGAAAATAAAGGGAAAATGTGCTTATTCAGCACCACTATTCTCCCTTCCCCCCTTTTGGGGCAAACGTTCACACTTCAACAGCACACTTGAGATCCAAATTTCCTTTCTTAAGTACTTTCAGTCCTTTTACATTTGTCATTAACTCATCTTCCCCACCTTTAATAGTACCTTTATTTCATCCTTCATAATTTGGTTTGGGTATGTCTACTCGATACAGTCTGCTCTCTTTCCCAGAAGAATTCATCAAATTATTTTCCTTGTAAGTTTTGCATTTAACCTTTCAATTGCCAGCCCCCAGGAGTTTCTGACCTATATCACATAATCTGATGCCCAAAATGCTGAGACAGCAGAAGCCTCAAAAAGCTTGAGTCTGGTGAATGCAAGCAGAGTGACTAACCTCAGGAAAGAGGGACCTTAGACAGTCTTTAAAATGTACTAGAGCACCACTTCAAAAGACTCGTATCAGCTGTGGGCTTCTGGGAAAGAAGTATTTTCTAACTCATCTGGTACTCCACAATGAGAGAAGGAGAGCTCTTATTTCAAGTCAGGGCACCAAGAATAACTTGAGGGAGTGCCAAGCTCTGTAAAGGGCATTTAGAAGTGAAAACTGGATGTGGTACAGGCATATGAAATGCCAGTGACTATCATTACTAGCACCTTTGAATGGAAAGCAATTATATCTCACATGGCTCACGTGCAATTCATTCAAACATCTACTAATGTTTCTATGTCCCAAGCATTTGATATATAAGGAATGACAGAGATAATATCATCCTTGTCTTCCAAGAGATAATGTTAGTGGTTCTTAACTAAAGACTTGTATTAGAATCATCTGGAGAGATTTCTCAAAACAGATGCCAGGGCTCCATCCTATACATATATATAAATAAAACAATCCCTGTATCTGGGACCTGGCGCCTGTATTTTGGAAAAAGATCCTAGGAAGACCAACCAGACAAACAATTAATTTAGAACAACGCTACCTAAGAAGTCTGCGTGGGCTTATAAATAGCTCGTTCTTCCAGTTGGAGCCCTCTGTCAATGGAAAAGACATGAAAAGCTCTTCCAGGTCAGCAGTGCTAAGCCATTCTGCCCTGAGGACTCTTTTGACCAACAAATGAAAGCCAGGGACCCTCTTTCAGAAAATCGTATATGCAACACTTCCACAAAAACTTCAGGGGTTTCAGCACACCCTGAACACTATTCCTGGACTTCTGTTCTGGAATAATTCTCTGAGAAGCTGAGACACCCAAATCAGAGGGATGACACAGTGGTTCTGAACATGGACTCGGGAACCAGACCAGACCATCTGATTTCAAACTCTGACTCTGTCACTTACTAGCCGTGCGACTTCAGGCAGCAGCACTGAGCGCAGCTTCCTGTCTGACGAATGGAGACAGCAGATTCAACGCACGGGGCTGTTATGAGGGTAATGAGTTAAGATTTGCAAAGCACTTAGAATGGTGCCTGGCTTACAGTAAGTATTATAACAAGTGTTTGCTAAAGAAACGAGAAACATAATTAAAGGTAACCACATTAGACTTATCTGAAATCTCACACATGCTCACATGTATTACGACGATATGCTAACAAGAGATCAGAAGAGAGAAGAAAGGGCTCATTGGCAAACTGTTAGCTTAATGATGCTTCCTGCTACTGTGCCCCTGGTAAAATGTCATCTCTTTGTAGGATCAACTGCACAAGCCATTCCTTGGAGGAAGCATCTCATCTCTTCTATGTTAGCTTTTCAAAATCTGTATTTTGAGGCTCTCAAACTTCTACTCTTGGCTAGAATGGCATTCATTTCAAATGTATATGGTTCTCTTAGATCTGGCCCCTGCCTACCTCTCTAGCTTATTTCCATAAACTTCAAGCATATCAAAATTATTTCTTGCTCCCCAAACGCTGAAACTGACAGCTCTGGGCCTTGTTAGATGTTGTTCTTTCTGCTTAATATATTCTTCTCCTACAGCTTTATCTGTCTGGAAGATATCTATTTAATATTTAGTTCAAGCTTGGCAAGGATTTCTCAGGAAGGCTCTCATCCCCCTCCCCAGCACCCACTCCGTGCATGTAGAATTCTACTCCAGCATAAAGTAACTGCTTATCTCTGCCTCACCCACAACACCACGATCTCAGTGCAGGGGCTCTCATTTTCACTCACACACTAGCGACACAGTAAATATTTGTTGCATAGAATTAAGGGGAAGATATTGAACAAATGGAATGAAACACTGGTTTCTCAACCATCAGTAACATCTCTCATTAGGCACATGGATACTCAATGAGGCAAGGATGAGAGGACAGGATGATATGTGGGCTCTTCTGGTTTCAAATCCCTGAGCTAAAATAACATTTAGATGTTGAGGAAGAATAACACATGTGGTAGATCACAATCCAAAGAATACTAGATTCCTCAAGGATATGCCAATAACTCTTTAGGAGTCTTGGCAAAAAAGAATCAAGGAAAACAGCATGAAGCCAGTTCAACTGCAATCAAGATGGTGGCTACTCTTAAACAGAACTGAGTAAACCTTAGAGTGTAATACCGATTGCTTTAGAGGGAGAGAGGGGAGTTCCTGGTTTTCTTGTGAAATTCACTATCCCAACAGGTACAGAATGGAAAGACATAATCCAGACAAACTGAAAAAGTATTTTCCAAGAGATTTAAGCTCAGTGCCTAGCTTGCCTATAAGAAATCAATATCACATATATATCTAACTGCCTACTTCATATCTCCATCTGGGTAACCAACCAACAGATATCTCAAAATGAACATGACCAAAACCAAATTCTTGACTGCCCCTCCTCATCCCTAAATGGAACCTCCTGTTGACTTTCCAAACTCAGTAAATCAAACACTGCAAAGCTTTGTAATGGTGTCCCTGCTTCTGCACTTGTCTCCCCTACCCTCAACGCCTAGCTTCCCAGTCTATTCTCAACATAGCAGCCAGAGTGGTCTTAATATGTAGGTCATTTCATAAATACTTCTCTGCTCAAACCTCCAATGACGTTTCCAAGCTACAACTGCCTATAATCTGATGCCTATTACCTCTGACGTCGTGTGTCACGACTCTCCTGTCAGCCACAAGAGCCTGCTGCTGTTCCCTGCACACCCCACACACCTACCCCATAGCTTTTTGCACTTGCTATTTCTTCTCTCTGGAACTCTCTTCCACCAGAAATCTGCAAGGCTCATTCCTGGCCTCCTTTAGGTCTTTGCTTTAATCAAATATTATCTTCCCACGCAGGTCCTCCCATGACCAACGTTTTTATAAAGTCAGCCCACCCAATCTCCAACCCCAGGACTCCCTATCCCAATCTCTGCTGTTTTCCTCCATTGCTCGTATCTGACATACTGTTTTACTTGTTTGTTGGTGCACTGCCTGTCCCTGTGCCTCATAATCCACCTCCAGTAAAATGTAAGTTCCATAAGGGAAGGGATTTTTGTCTCTTGCCTGACTGTATTCTCAGTTTCTAAAACAGTGACTGGCACAGAGTAAGTGTTCAATAAGCATAATGACATAAAACATACTAGTCAAAGTCCCTGACAACCATTTGGGTTTAGACAAGATATGGACTTGGTCTAAAGTTTCCCGAAGGACAGTCCTTCCCCAGGTTTTCCCAGCGTACTTCCTTTAACAGAGGAGGAAAGAACAGACATGTACACTGGGGTGGAGGGAGGGGTAAGGGTCAGGGTCAGGGGCTTAATATGAAGCAGCCCATTGTAAGAACAAAATTTCTTTGAAGTTATGCTATTCCATAGTGGATCTATCTGTTTTAATATGAAAATGTGCTTCTCCCTTTACCTCTGAGTAAACCTTATGCTCCAGGAGAACGTGCTATGTGCATATTTTAGTCTCAGTCTCAAGTACCTCCTAACACTGGTGTTCTTAAAAACTGCAGGTCACGACCAACTGGTGATTCTTAAAACGAAT